TCCTCCTCTCTCTCTCTCTCTCTCTCTCTCTCTTTCTTTATTGTGAATGTCATAGTTTAGCCAGACTGTACAGACAGCTTTGGTAATGCATTCCTCAATTTTGTGTTACAGCCTGTATAATTGAGATCTATTTACTGAACTCGGTGGGTAACTAATTCACTTGGTTCCCTTGTGTCTCTTCATGGAGAACCTCTGAAATCAAACATTCTAACAAGCTTCTCTTGCATCATTTTTTTTTTGGTTCACTTTTTCTCTCCTAATGTGAATTATGGAATGAATCTGTGTCAACATTGGAATACCAATAAATCATTTGCCTTTAACTCTCGGAAACTAACACAGTTGATTTTTCCTGCCATTTTCAGGTTTGAAATGTGAATATTCAGATTCTAAGTTTGTAACTTAGAGGTCTAACAGTGTAATACCGTCGATGCTGCTTTTGTTCGATCAAAAGCGTCGTATGCATTATGAGAATTGTATGAGTGGAGGGACTGATTGCGCTCTCTCCATTTACATACTGGCAGTCTCTCTCCTGTTATTGTAAGAGCTTTTTGTAGTTGTTGGAATCTTTCAGGCATGCTTGCGCCGATTTGGAAGAGCAGCATGAAATGTAGTGTTAGAAAGAGAGTGTTCCTGAACTTGGCCGAGTCAATTGGGTCGGGCGAGGCAAGTTTTGACCGAGTACTATGTACACCCTGAATATCATGTTTATATATTTAGGCATTCATTTTTGTTTATATATTTAGGCATTCATTTTTTAGGCACAAAACGCTTGATAGCATGTTGGTTAGTATGCATGCTAGAGGCCCATTTCGGCAACGTTTCGACCCCCACAACAGTGTAAGATTAGTAATTTTTTTCTTCAGCCCATGAAGACGTAGTAATTTTATTTTTTTGAGTTAAAAAACATGAGATGTAAAAAAGAGTATCACATGGGTCAAACATATGACATCTTAACAAAGTGGCATCTAAAAAGACGTACACTAAGGAGCTGTTTGGATACCTGGAAATATATTGTCTATTAAATATATTATGGACGTAATACATTACTGTGTAATGCATTATCTGTAAATGGATTGTCAATGTTTGGGTAGTATTTAAATGCAACTTGGGAAATACATTGCTATTGTTTGGCTAATATGATTAGACTTTGGTTTCAACATGATAAGTCATTAGAATAATATGATTGGAATAACATGATTTTATTGTGATAAGCCTTGTTTTTATTTTTTTTTTATAGAAATCTTTCAAATGTCTCACTATATATAATTTCAAATAAGCAATAAATTTATGATACCAAAATCAAAATCTTTATGGTATAAGTTAAAAAATGGAAAGAAGTTTGATTAGTAAACTAGAAGGTTTGGGAAGAAGCTTCATTAGTAAACTAGAAGGTTTGGTATTTGTAGTAGAAAATTTTTAAGCATTCAAGGAGACTAATGAGGTATCTTATTTCAATTTAGCTTTTACTAATCTCTTACGAGGATTATGTTGTGTGAAATTTTTTATTACGATTGTATTGTGTTATTTCTCATCGATTACCAATTATTATTTTTATTATTTTTATTTTTATACGAGAGCTGATGGCAGGGTGTAACCCAAATTGGGGATAGAGAGATGTAAAATTTCTTTTATTATGATTGCAGTAAAAAATAGTCTCTCATCAAGTTCTCCAATGGTTCAAATCAATTTAGATTTCTCATTACTTTCACTTAGCAATTATTAAAAATTTTTGTTTTTTATATGAGAGTCAGATGAGAGGTACAACCCAAATTGGGCAAATTGACCTTTTACTTTCACTTAGCAATTATTAAAAAAATTTATATGAGAGTCAGATGAGAGGTACAACCAAATTGGGCAAATTGGGGATAGAGGGATGTAGAAATTTTTTATTATGATTGGAGTAGAAAATTGTCCTCGTATACTTGTTCAAATCAATTTAGATTTCCTTTTTCATATCCCCTAGTTTCACTTTCTATTTACGTTAATAATTATACAATATAGCGTATAGGGAAATGTTTTTTTAAGCGGGAATAGGGCAAAGACGCACTTAAAAGATTTTCAAAGATTACCCCTTAACTTCATAATAGATTTTTCATCCATCATCGCGCTTCATGGATTTCGTGATTTTTTTGGAAATCTCGAGTAATATCGGGTATATCTTTCCATTTCTTTATTATTAAAGTGTACCAAAACAGTGTAAATGTCATATTTCATTGTAATCTATTATCACGTGAAAACTATTATCACGTAATATATTTTCACGTACCCAAACGGCCCCTAAACAAACATGCCATTAGACATTGATCGAAATATATATATATATATATATATATAGGAAAACACTACGCAACGCCTATAAGCGAAAATGAATGGTGATTTCGCCTACCCTCATCACCGTCTAAAGTTCATCGTCGGGTTCGGATTGTCCGGTAGTGTTTTATTTTTCATTTTTTTTCTACAAATT